GCTAAATGATTATTAACACGTGTGCTATACAGACACGATTATATGATTCATAACATTTTTACAAACCTTAAAACTCACGGTGATTAATATTGTAGACTTGATAAAATTCATAGGACTAGTTTTATATTGAGTGACTGTAATAATTGAAATATTGTTCGAATGACATAATGGTGTTTTTTAATCAAAGTGGAATGAACGCTTATACCACATAACGGTAGGTAGACGCATTCTACTTAAAAGCAGATTGATTAAACCAATAAAATGATATGGTCACCTTGACAACATAGATGTATTGGTAGGAGTGCATGTACAGCTTGATGGTGCGTTACATTATACAACGAAATTGTAAGTTAAACTATACAACTAAATGGTAAGTTAAAATATCCAACAAAATGGTAAGTTAAACTATACAACTAAATGGTATGTCCAACTATACAGCTTTTATAACTAAATGGACAACTTAAACGCATAACCTAAAGAAAAAGCAAATACCACTGAATCATTTAAACAGTTGAATGGTAGATAACTTATCGATAGGTTTAATTAACAACTTAGTAAATGATTTTTTCAGCTTTAGGCCTAAATGATATTGTCAGGAATATTTTACAACTACAGTTCCACTTATACAACACATTGGTAAGTTTACTAATTATATAAATAGTATGTTTATTTATACGCTACAAGGATAACTCTATTTGTTCAACCAATGTCTGAGATATCATATACTTGAATGGCGAACAACGTAATGCTGAATTTCGTTATATGGCGTAATCATTTGTTCTTTTAGTACAAACATACTTCTATGGGCTTAGATAATATAATTTAGTTTGGTATCAGTCGATGTTTTCATCGAATGTTATGCTAAGGTATTTTTTGATAAAACATTAAATGATTTACGATGATAAAATGTCATATTAAATGTACGTTTTTTAATGTTTTTTAGATTTCAATACTTTTCTATTGAATTAAATATTCAGATCTACATCAAGAGAACCCTCTAAGTCGATCAACATATTCTGAGTCTGAGTCTTATTGAATTAGTTTGAAATGTATGTAAAAATAGCAATGAAGGAAAACTGATATTCAATGTTAATATGAAATATTTTCAACTGTGTCGGCTTCGATGTTGGATACACAAGATTGTTGAGTTCTTATCTTATAATATTAAACATTATTCTTTTTTTATCATAAATGACTGTGCTGCATAATATCAATGGCAAACACATTCGTAGATTAAAAGATTAGGTAAGTTTAAGAATACATAAGATGGAAATGCGAGATATATTTTCCATGTGTTTTGATAACCAAAAAGTATAAATCTACCGAATTTCAAGTATATTCTGTCGGTAACATGATTGTTATCATGAAATCAACATCTGATGTGATATTTACATTGACCAGTGAACAATGTTGCTGTTCTGTCAGTGTATAGAGGGAAGTGAATTTCAGAAATATCTCTAAAGAATTCGACAAAAGAGATAATCAATATTTTGAAATGAAACTACATCGACCTTATTTTCTGTTATTTACTTAGGATGACTAAAATCACAGAAATCAACAGTATATCATGTCTTTGTTTACGTCTTTCACGAACGCTTTAAAGTTATATGTGTCACTATGTCACTGAATTAGGTCACAGAATTAGGTAGATATATGCACACGGGTCTTGTGTTCTGGAGGCAAAATAAGTTAACTATTTCACGGAATTAGATAGTTGTACATTGGTCTTCAATTCTGAAGACAAAATAAGTTTGCTATTCCAAATTTAATCATAAATAATGTTTACAATACAATTTCCCCTTAAATCTACACTTGGCACTGCTGTGTATTACTTACACAGGTATGTTTTATATCAAAATCGCTATGATTGAAAGTAAAAAGTTATGGATCGCAAACTGGAGAACTGTACGAAAGTTAATAGCACCTTTAACTTCCTTATAGTTAGCCAAAGCATGGATTACATGATATGATATAGCTGTTTAGACTTCGAGAAGCAGTCAGTGTTTCTAAAAGTCATGCTATATAATGCCCTATTGATTATACGTATGGGTTTGAAAGGATATACTGTAAAATTGCATTTGTATTCAAAACTGTAACAATTGATAATCTATTTAATTTATAAATGAATGTTATAATTATAAATAATTTTTATGAAATACAAAATATCCTATTATTTCTAGTATGTGATTTTTTTGCTTTAATAAGTTAGTGTTATCATATTATTTTTTCATGTCCCAAATTACCAAGAACTATTCCTATTTTATGGGAACCCATTCTACAATTAATGACTAACTTGTCAAAAAGTTGACCTTTATAAAGAAACCAAATACGTGAGCTGTTTGGCCATTTTTAATTTAATTAGTCATTTAGAAGGCCTCTACGTGTAATAAGCATATCTTAAGTGTTCATTTGATTGAATGGAATGGGCCTGCCGCCGCAGCAGCGTAGGGGCATTTATTTGATTAATCATATGGCATGTCTTGTCATATATAAAGGCAAACAAATTGCTGTAGGGTAGTGTATGTTGATATTTAGCATTACATCTATGAGTTGTCGTTACTCTATTAAATCGAAACTAGACTCTGCTAATGTATTTCTCTGCAAAAGGCACGAATGACGCACAAACAAAATGTGTCTTTAGTTTTATCCCTTCTTCAGTTAATAGGAGATTTGAAATGACTAATCTGTTTTAATAACGCAAGACTTTTTTATGGCAACGTAAACATATTTTCTACTATGTTGTATAGTCAAATAAAGTTTTTCAATGTTTTAATTAAATCAAACTATTTGAATGAATAATAAAGGGCGTCTGAGTTTAATGTGAGTGTCTTTCTGCTGTTAAACACTACAGTGTTACTTAGACTATTGAAATATGATAATAATGAATAATTGAAAAATAAATACTAAGGTTAAGGTATATTTCAATTCTGCCCATGCAGGACAGACACGAATATTAAAAACATTCAAGACTATACACACTAATTTCATATTCGTAAAATATTCCATCACCAAAGTTATCCCAAATTTTGTAACATGAGTCCGTTCTTTATCTTAAACTTTGTGTGATCTCGTTTTAGATTATCCGTTAATGATATCAGATTTTTGATCATTGAAAGCCTGAAGAGCCCAAGAAAGAGGGAACCGTATGATGATACATTTTGTATGTGATATCATGTTTTGGCTCACATTGAGATTTACCAGATTGTTTATATACCATAATCCTCTTTTATGTTTATATTGCAATTCAGATAAGTAAGATAACACCGACGTTCTTACAAAAACATAATTCAAATTCAATTTTTCGAATTTATGATAAAGTGAAACGATACACAAAACATTAGTATAGTGTAACAGCTACACAAAAAAATGTTTAAAGATAATTTGAAAGGCCTATTTCGACTTAAATAAGTTTCGCTTCACTTTGAATTGATATCGCAAACTTTTTTGTGGCATTTTTTGAAATTCTATCTATTGATTTAATGTACAACGTCTCCAGTTCCAGCCATATCTCAACCTTCCTAATCTGTTTCGAATTTTAGACACCCCATGAAATGCTAACCACCAAGTGACGACCCTCATACATTTCCTTTACTGACTGTTCATACAGTAGCAAATGAATGAAGGAGAACCTATTTCATTCCCTGCCCATAAATCCTCCATGAAAACATGGACAGGTTTTATAAAATGTGGTAAAGAGTGTCGGATACCATGTTTCTCCGACAGTTTTGGGAGGGTAAAAAATACTGTCCTAGTGTATTACGAAAAATAACACGTACTTTGTCAAACATGTGGGCTGCGCGAACAAATTACTACAGTCATAAAGTGTATGTTCTCAAATACCTCCCTACACAGAACGGTGAGCCTTAGACAGGGATTTTGATATAAAATTCTAAACTAAAATACCCATAATAAATACTATGCTATAGATACCGACATGTCACTTTAATTTACTTGAAACTTTTCAATTTTCATAAAAGAATTTACAAATGTTTACAAAGAAGAAAATCATATGTATGTTTTATAATAGGCCGTATAAAATTATATTTTACATGTTTCATGCTACATAGAATATTGATTAACATTTTGGTGCGACAAGGACAGTGACACATTGATCAATTAACCTGTTAAATCGAGGATTTACTTATATTACCAAGGATGGATTTATTAATACTTCTATACAGATGCCAGTTTTGTCATAGATAGTGTTTTTGGAAATAGCAGCTTTAAAAAAAACAAACAAACAAACAAACAAACAAACAAACAAAATAAACAAAAAATAAAGAAAGAAAGAAAGAAAGAAAGAAAAAATGGATACCAATGAATATTTTTTCTTTAAATGTTATTTGAATGTACACGTTCCTACATTATTCATTTATGTTTTCCCCCTGAAGAAATATTGAACACGTATCTATAATAAAGGGTAAATATAGATACTATTCGACCGACCATTTGATGTCAGGGTGAATAATTTACACAAGATGATAGCACATTTCAACATTTTAGAATCAATTTCAACATCTAGATACTACATGATATTTCGACTTGCCAAGTTTCAATAAAAAAGTTGCTCTTCTGAATTGCATAAGCTTGTCTCTCCCTACTTTGAAACTAGAATCAGACATCTCAGAGAGACTGAAATCATAAAGATCAATTATATCGATAGGTTTGATATTCCAGAGACAGGGACATGTCTACATAAAACTACATCATACAGCTGTTTCGTCCTTGTAGTGATTAAAAGTGATACTGGGACGTTAATCGTTTTTACATGACAAAATACTACTTCAGATTATAACGAAGGACTCAAACAACATACATCATGTCCAAAACTCTTATTTTAAATATTTTCATGCCACACATAAATTATTCATTCTTAAAGATGCTACTGATTTTTTGTACAGCTGGGAAGGTTAATACAAAACACACGCCAAGATACTCATGGAATATTCAAATCCATCCCATACGTACCATATGTAGTCAGTGACAACTGGGAAGGTTCTTCACTCTGTAGGCATTGTCCAAGCTCCTTCCATCCTCCACACCGAAAAGGCATAACTGAGCCTCTCATTAGCCATGTAGTTACAACTAGGAGTCATTTTATTGTTACACGTGTTGTCCCAATATTCTTCTGTTTGTAGAACATTGTACAAAAAGTCGATATACCGAGTGGCTAGTTTTAATGTTTGAATTTTACTAAGTTTATCCGATGGTAATGTAGGAATAATCTGGCGGAGTTGAGCAAAGGCATCATTGAGTGACTGTGTCCTCTGTCGCTCTCTGACATTAGCCATGACTCGTTGGGTCTGTATATCCTCAAAAGACAGTTGTGGTTTTTTCTTGAGTTTCTTGGGAGAAGAATCGTCAATACTTTCTGGTGAAGATACACTTACTATACCGTCGCTGCTCTTGGAGTTACTTCTTTTACGTTGTCGTTGTTTTGGTTTGACAGACTCCGACGCGTACATCTGATGACAAAATCCAGAAGTGACTGAACTTAGATTATCAGTTGACTGCCGTGTATAATTTTCCATAGAATATGGAATGTGGTGCTTTGGAATCATCCTTTCACACACTTGAATGATTAGAAAGGGCCTGTTCGATTTAAAAACTTCCCTGTGCGCCTCGAAGCACACACCTAATTAGACAATATTTTTATCTGCACCTGTTTCCTAATTCATCTACAGACAAACTTGTACACGTTTTATCAACTTATAACTTGGTGAAGACTTCGATGATTTTTCAACAAACTGACCCGTACCAAGAACATAATCTGTCTAATATGACCTGCGATGGGGCTAGAGTAATCCCGCCTCGTTCCGTTCATTTGCCAGCCGCCGTACTCGCGAGGTGTCAATCATCCGTGAGAATTAATAGCACGCGCACTTTCCCGCTTATCGAGTTACATATCAATATGGAAGTGTTCCAGTGAGAGGAGTGAGAGGAATTATCAATGAAAAGATTGACTATCTTATAGCAAATAATTTGACAGCACAACTGGATGGCGACCAGAGTCTAATTCGTCAATTGTACTCTACATTTGTAGGAAAATTGACGAGTACATTACACATATCTACACAACCCTAGGGTAGCGTGCCGATCGCATATAACACCAGCTTACATTACGAAACATGTGTGCAGTTATAATATGTCTGTTTCAAAGGGTCAGAACGTCTGAGGAGTGTGGTCCAATACCGATATATATACAATAATTGGATGTTAGTCAGAAATATATAATAACGATTCAATCCATTAGTTAAAAAGGATAAATCTGCATTATACATCAATGTAATAGATTCTTACATACCTACAACTAATAACTTATGTAGGCGTAAACATACATGTTATATCTATACTAATCAAATATACTATGTAGTCCATGTAAATTTTTTTTCTGATAATGATATGAGGAAAAAGGAACACATGAAAACTTCAAGTATTTTATATTCTAAGATTTTGATGATTGTCGGCTATCAATTTATAATCTATGCTATCAATATCGATAATGGTTATGATTGAAGGTAATTTGTAAATGAAATCAACAGAAATACAAATTAGTCTTTAACTAAGAACTATGATTAGCGATATTTCTTCTTATATTGACAACTATACAAAGACATTTTCACGGGTAGTAGCATTTGGTACAATACAAAAAGTATTACAATGAGTGCAATAAGTACTCCTTTATGCCTACTTCAACGAAACGAAGGATTGTCAATAGCTGTGAATTAATTTGCATATTCAGAGTGCAACGTAAGACAAATATTTAAACATATCCGTGGTGTCCTTGAAATCGTAAAAATGAAAGTGGTATGACGTTTTTGTAAACTCACTCTGTAGAGTGCAAAAGAAATTTGTTTTTCTGCTAATGCCCTCCCGCAGGGCCGGAAAATCATGCAGTCAAATTATTTTGACATATCTACAGCTGAACATAAAACAGGCAATAGTTGTGACTGGGTGAAGGAAGGGGGGGCTTTTTCTTCTATATACAACGCGTGCGAATTTTCACAAAAATGCAAGGTGTCAACGCTGTCTTAAGAATTGCTGTTCCCCAAGAATTGTCAAAGATAGAGTATGAAATTTCTTAGGTTATCAGTAAAACATGATCAGCATGAAAGTACATCATGTTAAGTGGACAATGTTGTGTGTTTTTTAAAGTACACCCACCATGAGAAATAATCTTTGTGATGATTAAATAAGAGCAAATCAACCTGACAAAGCTTTAACACAATTGAGCACTGACTGCGTAGTGTGAAGCATAGCTGGAGCCTTTTACTCTTAGATTGGTGATCCAAACAAATATGTTCCACCTCTCTTCGAGATCTCCCTTTTCTCATTAGTGACTCCTAAAACTTTAATGTCGTAACATCAGAGTGGATCAAAGTGAAGCTACAAGAGGAAATCTCCTACACAGGATAGTTTAAAGAAATAAGTGAGAAGAATAAAGTAAATATTGTTGTTTTTAAAATTTAACCAACAAAATTGTTAAAAGGGACAATAGAATTACTTTGATGGTATAACTTTTTTATGAAACGAACCATTTTCGTTCGTTTCCTATTCATAATTATACAGAACAATGACTTTTCATGACTTGTTCATATCAAAAATGTATAGAATTTATTTCAAGTCAGATGAAAGAAAATTGATACTTTCCTAAAATAGAGAATATTTGAAATATTTTTTAATAAGAATACAAAATTAAAAATTCATCTGTTCAGTGATCTTCGTGTCTGGAGTTTGCACATTGTTGGAAACGTTTTTGAAAGATAGTTGACATGACAGGATGTTTGCACCGCTTGTAATATTCACTCCATTATCATTCATGTCATGACATTGTTACCGGTGTCAGAAGGATGGTTTGCAAAAGATAATGAAACATGTCTGAATATGATAAAAGATAAGAAAATGAAAACCTTTGTGGCCATGTCCAGAACTGACCAATGGATAATTGGCTAGTGTTAACAGACAAGGATGATGTATGTCGGAATGACATGGATTTCTTATCATGTAGAGCTAGCATAAAGAAATATGTAAAACCCATTGTGAACAAGACCGAGATATGAAATATGTAGGACGGTATTGTATTGTGTTACAATGTTTGAATTCTTTGAAAACAAGAGAATATTTCCTTTTTCCTGTATTGTATGTTTGCTTTACCACTCTTAGAGTCCCTCTTGACACACCCATTTGATGAGGACATCATTGCCCACATCCAAATATTCAACTAAAAAAATCGTAATTAAAATTACAGAACAATGCAACGAAGAGAGTTTGTCAAACACTGGTTTTTATTTTTCTCTGTATAAAGAACAAGCATATTATCTAAATTTAAGTTATACCTTACCATAGCACCAGTATATTGAATAATCCGCTCGATATATCATCCTAATGACTGGGCATACACAAATCATTATTACATTCTGTAGCTGCTCTATTTCAAATTTTATACACTATACTTAGTACCTTTATTAATACAATATCGATCTATAGCTCAATAATGGTACAGTTTATAAATTGTCACTCTGTCTGTTTATCGTAATTTTTCTTCGATACCCTTGCTCTTTGTGACTATGTATACCAGAACTATTGTAGTTGTATATGTCTATATAGCATGATGGTGATTCTTCTGCAGGTCTATATCGCTATGTAAATCTAGATCCTGTCAGCAGATAGTTCACGTTCCATTCTCGTCCAATTCTCTTCTTTCTCTTATTACCCATGACGTTGAAAGACTCTATAAAATGGCTTCCAATTATATGAAGTGTCGCCTGGCATAATGACAGGTAGTCATACAGGCCACATCGTTACGGTTTAAGGTCGTATTGCCGTCGTTTAGTGTCACTTACTTTGTCAACTCAAAATCTTGGAATTTTTTGTCTGTTATTCTATCACATTCCTTGCCGGATTGTTGCTGCTATTTTCTTTCTCCAGTATTTTTGGGTTTTGTATATCTCACTGGAATGTTATCATGGCCACACAGGCATGCGTTCCTTACATGTCGATGGAGTACAACATTGGAAGTCGGCATTTAATACTACGTCTACAATGTATCTTATATTACATTAAACTATGTTAATATATACCAATATGTGAACAGTGCAAGATGTTACTATAAATATATATCATTATTTTATTTTCATTTATTTTTTCAGAAATTTTGTGTATTAAAGCCGATGAATGCATTGCAGAACTTAAGTGGTTGCTATCGTGATTTCGTTATAAATACATACGTACATTGTACTATATTTCACTAAGCTCTCATTTCATTAATTCTCTCTCTCTTTTTCTCTCTCTCCCTCTCTCCCTCCCCCCTCTCTCTCCCTCCCTCCCCCTCTCTCTCCCCTCTCTCTCCCTTATATATGATAAAGTGTTTTCATAGTATGTTTAATAAATGCTTTTCTGTGAAAATCCAGTCGATTTCAGCGCATTAAAAGCAATTTAGTTACTTGTTGACAGTTTTCCAAAGTATGCTATCATTTGGCAATGACATGACGTTGTCACCTGGATGTTTGTACAAAAGGCACACAATCGAATATCACCTTTTAATACAAGATTTAGAGTTTTGATACAAGCTAAAACAATGCACATGCATAGAAGTTTGCAGCTGTTTCGTGTTTCAAGGACTTTTGAGTGATACGAAATGTCTAAATTGTGAAGAATACGGTGCGGCTGTGGTTAAGCCAAACTGATCGAAAAGATAAAGTCAAAATCTAGATTAGGAGGTGCACTAGCCTAGAATACATTGGCCAGGATCTCATTCGTGGGGAATATGTAACACATTTGGTAGTTTCATGACCTGAAAATACCTCAAATCAACAAATCTGGCTTATTCACTAATCCACACGGATGCGGCGAACGTATAACGTTATAAACACGGGTAACCTAGGGTTAAATGAAATAATCTGTTAGCGGGGATACAGAGGTGTACTTTAGACTTTTAACATTTTGTTGATCAGCAATATCATGCAGCCTACTCGAGGCAATATTCAATATCCTTAATGATATTACTGTCTAAAAAAAGAAAACAAGAAAATACCAACATGTTCAATCATAATCAAAATTGAAATTCAATAAAACGAGGGCAAAATATGAACATGCGAAACGTTTACACGAAGATTCTTGCAAAAAAATATGGAGCGATCACAGTCAGGTGTTCCGGAAGTGTTAGCGTCTTCTGCTGCGTCAACGAAATCTCTTTTAATATCTTTTTGAAGCAGTTACACATCAGACAAAAATGCATATCTGAAAGCTGTAATCTCATTAACAAGATATCACCGTGGCTGTTTGGACGTCGATTTGCTTGGGCTCTAGTGATATTTTCGGTGTTGGTGGACCTTAAAGAATATATTGATAACACATTTGACCATACGGAACGATATCCTTGGTAGAGGTTGATATCTTATCCTCCTTTCCACTATTTTGATAATTATTATAACTGCTCCGTTACCGTTCGTTTTTCTCCAGTTTCTGCTCTATAATATAATGTTGCTGATGATATGAAAAGACAATATATTTCCATATAAATTTAGAAATAAATATAGTACAGCTACCCTTCTGCGACCTG